TGTGTCATTCAATACATCAGAGCTTTCAATTCACGTTTCCTGAACATTTGTGTGCATCTACGTATACAAATGTAAACCCACATGTTCATAACTCAAGACAGCTACTCTACAGAATCTAACGTGAAACCATTTGGAAGAACTCATACATGGCATATTTATCACTGCATTACAAAAGAAAACACGTCAAATAATAGGCGTAGACATCAGCGTGGACGATCAGTCTGCGCAGACACAAAATCCTGCCATGGCCAGATGGGGTCAAATTTGCCCCTTTGTGTGGCACTTTTTGCTCTTCCTCTTTTGTTAACAAGCCACAGTCTTCCTACGGACATTGTTTGCACCTTTGAAGGGACCGATTGGTGTGGTTGGTCTTCTCAAAACGATTCTTGGTATCGCCAGACGGGTTCCACACCGTCAAGCTTTACTGGGCCAGACTCGGCAAAGCAAGGGTCATATTACCTCTATGTGGAGGCCTCAGGAAACAACTATCCTCACAAGGCGGCGGGGGTGATTGGATTTTTTAGTTTGTCATTCAGCCCTCAGGCCGCCCGAAATTGTGATTTCTGCCCTAGTGTTTCTTGATTCGCGTTTCAACAGGAAACTCATGATCGCAGATTGTATTGTTCTTTTCTAGAAGTGTGCGATCATTGTGTCAGTCCACGCGTACTTGTGCACTTTTGATATTTATTAGAGGCATTCCCTGAACCCTGGAGTCTTTCTACCTATACAGTACAACTTTTCTCATGGAGTCGGACTGGGCGTTCAGTTTTTGGTACCACATGCATGGCAGCCACATGGGTGAACTTTCTCTGCAAGGGTTGTGCGACAACGTGTACACGACTTTGTGGGAAGTATCTGGTGATCAAGGATCGGAGTGGCTTCTTGCGCTGGTGGCAGTACCGAGCTCCGCCTCTCAATTGCGTTTTGTGGCAGTCACTGGGGTTGGTTATCTTAGTGACATAGCCATTGATGAGTTTTCGGCGCAACTTGGCCGCGATTTTGAAACTCACCCTGTCATACTCTGTAGATGCTACTCTTTTGCCTGTGCTTTGGGTTGAAGTTGATGACTGACTTGCCTGGTGAGTTTCGGGGAATGATTGTGGAATTGGAAATAGTTACTACCCTCTGCGGTGGCTGGTTACTGTCACGCATTCCCTGCCAAATATATCAACATACACTGCAATGTAGCTATATTCAAACATACTAAAGTCTTTCCAGTCTACTGCTCTCATGCTAGTCAAAGAGTGGTGAATGTTTTATAGACCAGGCACCTGCCAGCTCGAAACGTGACCGTATTGGATTGTGACTTCGAGGGGCCTGAGGGGACCATGTGTGCATGGTCTTCCGATGCTTGGCAAGTCATATCGGGTCCAGCCCCTGATTATCAGTACGGCGCTGGTCCGGATGCAGCAGCAAATGGAACTTATTATGTCTTGTTGGAGGGTGACGGCATGCCTGGAAAGGCATTTGCACTGACAAGCACCTTCTTTAATGTAACATTCGACATATTGTTGACATTCCAATATCATATGTACACAATGTTTGAAACACGGATTGGCAGCCTAGAGCTGCAGTATTGGACAGAAGCTGGTAAATGGCTGCCTTTGTGGCACAAGTCTGACAGTCAACACGGAAATTGGATCAAAGACACCATGGTGCTGGTGCCATCAGCTGCGCGCAGGATTCGCTTTCTTGGAACGCCCGGAAATTCCTGGAAAAGTGACAATGTCATGGCCCTTGATGGCATTTCGGCAGTCTTCCGAGACTCTTCGGAGAAAACGCCTTTGGAAGCTGTGAGTTGCAGCTTTGACTACACATTGTGTGGTTGGTCGACCAATGATTCCACTTGGCGACAGATTGAAATTACTTTTTCAACAGAAGCGGGCCTGGAAAAAAGCGTCGCTTTACTTCTGATAAGCACGTTGAACAACAGTGCAGATAATGTGCTCCTGAGCCCTCGGTTCTTCTCAGAAGTCAGGCTATTCCGGTTTTCATACTTCATGATCATGGATGGAGATGACGTAGGAAGCTTGGAAGTTCAATACTGGACCACATACGATGACGGGTGGCTTCCTCTTTGGGCAAGATACGGGCACCAGGGTAGAGGTTGGCTTCAAGGCAATACATTTCTGCCAAACGGGACAGAACAGCTCCGTTTTGTCGGCACAAGAGCCAGTGCATCGAGCTACATCGCTCTTGATTCCTTTGAATTTGCAAAGGTGTTGAGTCCAACATTTGAAGATGGAACTTTGCATCCGCAAATTGAACAGCTTAGCTGTGACTTCGAATCGAGTGATTGCTGGCAGTGGTTTGGTGGATGGATGCGTGGTTCTAACGCAACAATTAACACCATGACTGGGCCAACAGCTGCTGCCCAGGGCGATTTTTATGTTTACGTAGAGTCTCTCCGAGTGTTTGAAAGCAAAGAGTCTTGGCTTGCAACCCCTGTTTTCACGCTATCAGAGCCGACCTTTTTGTCATTCTACTACATGTATGAAACTATGGGGTTTGACAAAGGCAGGTTCGAACTGCAGTTTTGGAACTTCGATGGATGGCACACTTTGTGGCTGTTGTCTGAAGGTCAAGGTCGCAACTGGTTGCATGCTGCCCGGATTCTGCCAATGGATGCTATGAGACTGCGGTTCTTGTTCATTCGTGGAGCTGAAGATGTTAGATTCTCTGTTGATGTTGCTCTTGATGACCTTGTGGTTGGAACAGGTCTTGCCCCAACCATTCAGGTTGTGGATTGTACCCCCAATATTTATTGCGGCTGGATTTTGCATATGACCATAATGTCGGACGGGTCCCTCTCCCAAGAAGACAATGTACTTCTGAGCCCTCTCTTTCAAGCTTTGTCCACCACAGCAGTTTTGCAGTTCCGATACTTAATGGATGGAGACAACGTCACAAGCTTCGAATTGCAGTACTGGACCACAAGTGATGAAGAGTGGCTTCCTTTGTGGTCAAGATCTGGACACCAGAGTACAGGTTGGCTGTGGGGTTCTGTGGTTCTCCCAATCGGAACAGAACAGCTCCGTTTTGTTGGCTATTCTACGTTATCCGGTGGGCCAAAATTCAGTTCAGTTGAAACTGGAGAGCTACTCTCAACCATTGTTGGCCTCAGTTGCGACTTTGAATCTCCCTGTTCTTGGTCAACAGGATCAAATTGGCGAACACGCTCGGGAGCAGGATTTCTCAAACCCTATGGACATGAAACAGGTCCAGATGGTGCAGTGCAAGGCATTCAGTACTTGTATTTGTTAGCTTGGTCAGACGACATGCTCAATGCTGGCAAGGAGTTCGCACTGACAAGCGCATTCTTCAATGCGTCTGACAAGGTGTTTTTGTCGTTCTACTATCACATGCTGGGGCAAGACATGGGCAGCTTGGATTTGCAGTACTGGTCAGCGCCGGATGGATGGCATTCGTTTTGGTCAAAGTCAGGTAGCCAGGGTGAGGATTGGCTTGAAGCCAAGCTGGCCGTGCCTCCGAACTCACAACGCCTCCGGTTTGTAGGTACTCTGGGACAAGGTATGAAAAGTGATATGGCAATCGACAACATTACGGCATACACTGGGACTGCGCCCGACATTGACTTCATCCTTTGTCGCACTGAGGTTCGCAGTCACTCCAAGCTTGACATGTGCGGCTGGTTGAGCAACGATTCGGGTTGGCAGTGGGTTGAGGGGTCCTCTTTCCTGTGGCTGACAGACACCAATAGCACCAACCCGAGTGTGCTTCTGAGCCCTCGTTTTCGAAGCTTGTTCACCACAGTCTTGCAGTTCGCGTGCTTAATGGATGGAGACATCGGAAGCTTGGAATTGCATGTTTGGAGCGCGAGTGATGAAGACTGGCTTCCTGCTTGGTCAAGATTTGGGGATCAGGGTTCATCTTGGCTGATAGGTTATGCGGTCGTTCCAGCTGGAGCAGAGCAGCTCCGCTTTGTTGGTAGAAAGGGCAGCGGATCAGGTGAAATTGTCCTTGATTACATCCAAGCCGGGGGATCAATTGCAAGCGTTGAAGAGCTTGCTTGTGACTTTGAGCTTGCATCTCTTTGTGGTTGGTCTTCGCCTGGTTCGGATTGGCGTCAAGATTCTGGAGGCTCACCGTATGCGGGGCAACCAGCTGGAGCAGCGGAGGGCGCTCACTACATTTATGTCAGCGGTTATCTTGGACTACACCACTACCTAAGCAGCCGTATTTTTTGTGCTGCAAGAAGATAAATTATTTTCTTTTCAGTATCACATGCTGGGACTCAAGAAGAATAGCTTGGAGCTTCTTTGCGCCACAGCCGATGGCTATCATTCACTATGGTTCAGGTCTGGCGAGCACTCGTATCATTGGCGGAGTGTTACAGTAGTCGTGCCTAGCAACGCCGTGCATCTCCTTTTTTTTGGCAAGAACCGAGTTAACAGGAGCCCCGTATTTTGAGGTAGCCCTGGATGCGTTTTCCTTTTCTCCGCACTTTACCTCCCCGAATATTGTGAGCTGCGACTTTAGCTTGGACACATGTGGTTGGTCCATCTTGGGTCCTTGGCAGCGCATATCAGGTGGTGAGTCAGCTTCCATTCACAAGACAGAGCAAATCAGCTCATACATGTACATCAACGCCAATGAGACTGGTGAGGGACTTATTTTGCGCAGCCATGACTTTGTTCCATTGCCTTCTTCAAAAGCTCTCCACTTTGCTCATCGTTTGACTGGAGAAGCGTGGCTGGAACTTCAGTGCTTTATCTTGGATGCGTGGGTGGTTTTGTGGTCCGGAGTGGACGAGATGCCCTGGACGCACAACATTGTGGAGGTTCCTGCTTTTGCGCGCTCTCTTCGCTTTGTCTTCAACCATACTGGTGCGCCTAGCCATGCAGGCATTGGTGAGATCATGGCTTTTGAGACTGCTTCTACGAATTTAAGTCGCATTCATCCTGCCATTTGTAGCTTTGAATTAGAGTGCTTGTGGACCTCTGTGAAGGATTTTACCTGGCTTCCAACATTGCACGCAGCAGACCAATGGAACTTTTACATGATCCTGAACGGCAGCTCCACAAATTCACAATCCCATGAGGTTTTGATCGTGAGTCCTTTGTTTGAAGCTTCGTCATTTGCCATGTACTTTGCCTTCGAATACCATGTTGACGGAAAAGATGATGAACACCTAGAGCTACAGGGTTGGACTGAAGCCTCTGGCTGGACTCTGTTGTGGAATCGTTCGAACAGACACCTGGGATGGACACATCCCATAGTCTGGGTACCAAGGTTTACAAGAGCCTTTCGTTTCGTTGGGCACTTTGGTCGAAGCGTCGTTGGGTTCGATTCCTTTTCCATAGTGTCAGCCATCAATGACACTGATGCCCTGAGTTGTGACTTTGAGAAAGACTTTTGTGATTGGTCAATGGGAGGAGACTTTGCATGGACTGGCCCTTCTGAAGGCTATGCCCACGTCGACACTTCTGATCATGCAGCAGCCCCAGGTGTAGTGGGAATGCGCAAAGAGTTTGTCCTGGTGAGTCCCATGTTCCCTGAAAGACCTTCCACGCAGAGCTGGAGATACCTGAGCTTTGCGTATGAGATGTCAAGCGGCAACGTGTTCAGTCTCGAACTTCAAAGCTGGTCATCCTCTTTGTCCTTTTGGCTTACAATCTGGGGCCTCAAGGGTCAACAAGGTGTAGGATGGCACAATGCAAAGGTGCGGATTCCAGAAAATGCTGGGTGCTTGCGCTTTGTTGGCGTGACAGATGGAAACGAGTGGGGTGGCGGCTTCGGCGCTATTCTTATGTCGATTTCTAATCTCTTCTCTTTCGAGGTGCCTGCAAGAGAGTTTGCAACCATCTCAGTAGGCTCTGCTCATGCTTGCCTGCTGTATCATGATAGCGGGGAGTTGCGCTGCTTTGGTTATAACGATATGGGACAGCTTGGACAAGGGCACAGGTCAAGTATAGGCAATGAGCCAGGAGAAATCGCCAGCCTTCTACCAGTTGATTTGGGTGAGAACATGTCGGCCAAGCAGATTACAGCTGGTGGATACCACACCTGCGCTTTGCTTCAAGATGACTCGGTGAAGTGCTTTGGTTGGGGCGTTCGCGGACAGCTTGGTTCAGGGTGGTTTACCCCGGTGGGTGATTCGTCAGGAGACATGGGCGCAAGTCTTCGCCCGATCGACCTTGGCGATGGCATGCTTGCCACTCAAGTGGCGGCAGGCCGAATGCATACTTGTGTTCTGCTGCAGAATCATGCTGTCAAGTGCTTTGGAGAGAACGAACATGGAGAGCTTGGTCAAGGACACCGCCAAAACATAGGCTGGTTTGTTGGACAGATGGGGGCAAACCTTCCATCCATTGATTTGGGTGATGGCATGTGGGCCAAACAGATCGCACCTGGTGACAAGTTTACCTGCGTGCTGCTTCAAGACAACTCAGTCAAGTGCTTTGGTCTAAATTCTGCGGGCCACCTTGGTCAAGGAAGTTTTGAAGGTCAAAACAGAAGCATCGGCGACGAGGTGGGCGAGATGGGCTCAAATCTTCCGGCAGTTGACCTTGGAATCGGCGTGTTGGCAACTCAAATTGCGACCGGCGGACATGCCTGCGCACTGCTTCAAGACAACTCTGTCAAGTGCTTTGGATCCAATTACTTTGGACAGCTTGGCCAAGGACACACTTTAGATATAGGTGATCATCCAGGAGAATTAGGTGCAAATCTTCCACCAATTGATTTGGGCACAGGAATGCGCGCCAAACAAATCGCAGTTGGTGCGCTGCACACCTGTGTCTTACTACAGGACAGTTCAGTCAAATGCTTCGGATATGGCGCATATGGACAGCTTGGCAAGGGAAATACCCAAAACATTGGTGATGAACCTGGAGAGATGGGAGACAACTTACCCGCCATTGATTTTGGAGAAGGAGAAGGAAGCTTGGCAGTAAGTATTGCGGCTGGAGGACACAACACATGTGTTCTATTTCAAGATGACTCGATGAAGTGCTTCGGGCTCAACAGTGAAGGAGAGGCCGGCATGGGACATGACCGGATGATTGGTGATGACAGCTGTGAAATGAGCAGTCTTGCCCCGGTGCAATTGGCTCCCCTCACTCCACGTCAGATTGATGAGTTGCGCTTGTCTGAAGGCGCTTTGCGGGGAAGGGTTGAAGTTTTGCATGCTGGCGTTTGGGGCACCATTTGTGATGATCGCTGGAGTGACGCAAACGCGCAGGTAGCTTGATTGCAGCAAGAGGAAGAACGCAGCAAAGTCACAGATTGGTACAGTACTAGATGGATTTATATGGATTAACGCTGATCTTGCTCTTACACCACTCAACCGTGGGATCTTCATCCACCAAAGTAATGGATACTAGTACGGGTGAGGGTCGAAAGCAGGCTCCGAAAAGGGTCAGTCTAGAATTCAGTCCAGTGGGAGGCCACAGCTCTTCAATACGAGGTTCTGTGCCGGGAGCTTGGCATGGCAGGAGGAGTTGCTCTTGAGCGCTTTGGAGGGGGCACTGGGCCAATTCTCATGGATGGTGTGAATTGTCAAGGTGGCGAAATTGGACTTGCTCAATGCGGTTTTCGGGGTTGGATGGTGCATGACTGTCATCATGGTGAAGATGCCGGGGTAGAATGCCAGTTGGATGCATGGACTCAGCTCTCTGGGTTGTCCGAATCAACTGGTCGGCAAGGACATTCAGCAGTATGGGATTCATTCAGCAGTTCAATGCTGATCTTTGCAGGGCAAGCCCCAAATCGCTTTGTCACCTACAATGATTTTTGGCAGTACGACTGGCCGCTCTTTTGCATTTTGAAGGTTTTGATTTCACTGCACTAAGAACCACACCAATAGTCTGTGCCAAACGACAGTCCCAACCACGATCTGACAAGATTTGTCTTTCGTAGGAAGCGAACAATGCCCACTAGATCCCACAACTGAATGTTAAGAAGTGCTCATGGTGACCAGCTTTGAAAGTATCAAATAACAGAGTTGGGGTACAGCGCAGATTCTTGATTCTTGATTCATTGACCAAGGCCGAAACGTTCTTGGTTCCAACTGGCTTCCGGACCAACCGCAAGGACTGGCCATTCGGCAGTGCTGGACTCTGAGTCCAGATCTATGCTTGTTTTCGGTGGTGAGTACCTCACCTGCAGTAGCGAAGTTCAATCTTTGATCATGTCCAGTAATTCTAACCGCTTTCCCACTCAACGTATCACTTTTGCCCACAGAGCAGGTGCTCTTGGGAGAGAATTGTTGCGCAAAGTACGAAGCAAAAACACGTGTTTTCAGTGAATTTTGCTTCAAACACCTCCAAGACCTAGGTTTGGGGTTGAATATCAAGAACCTGGTTTTGTTCAGACCAGGTCTCCAGGGATTTTGAGAATGTACAAATAGGCACAAAACCATAATGACTGACTAAACTTAAACACCAAATATCAGTTTCAAATATATATCAGTTTTGTACAAATGAGGCCACCATCGGCTTGGGATGTATATATATATTATGTTTATCTCAAACATGGTTCATTATGGTTTTTGCTGTCGTGTTTTTTGTTTCTGGATTTAGCACCTTTTTGTCGATGTAGCTTTCAAGCTCTCCATCAGCATATTGTTTTGAAGGTCCAGCGCAACAGAAACTGGGCGGAATACATGTGGGCCCGTACGCCGTGCTCAAGCAGTTGTTCGTTTCTTTTGCAATGTCTGTTTGTTGGATATTGGTAAGCTGTTGTTCCTTTTGTTCAGCTCTTTGACTGTTGGCACTACTGATTTGCAATATCATATTTGCATCTAAGTCTTCCTCTCCCTCAATATTCTTCCCTGCAAGCTGTTCCCCTTCTCAAATGCCTTTGCAATTGCTTCAATAATTTGCTTCTATATTTCTTGTTCAACTCTTTCTATAGTCTCAAATGTGTTTTGAAGTTGAGCACCAAACGGAAAACTGTGTCAATCTTTACAAGGGGGTTCTTGTTTAAGTTACTTTGATTTGGTGTGCTTTTTCTTTTTCTGAACGTTTGTTGTCTTGAAGCTCCAAACAACGGAGCACATTACTGAAGAAGGTAATGAGCTAGACCGAGTGCAAGAGTGTTGATTAACTTATATCCAGGCAACACGTTGTTTCTTTGGTTTCCTGTCTCAATAAGGGTTTCTAGTATTGCTTCCGATTGCTTCAGTAGGTTGTGAATGGCTTGCCTAGCTTTTTCTCCACTTTTAATTGCGTGTAACAGTAAATTAAGCACCAACAGGAAAGCTTCTTCAACCTTCACACGTTGAAATTTAGTCAAGGAAAGCTTAGCTCTTTCAAACAGGCTAAGAAGCTGGACCAGGTGTAATATTAATATTTGTTAACTTCTATCCAGGCACATGTGTTTGTTTTTTGGTCATAGTTCTTGCTCTCTTGGTTTGGACAAGATGCCAGCCAAACTCATAAAGCAATAACGTTTGCGCTATTTAGGATTGCTTTTGCCTATTATGCATCGAACTCTGCAATTAGCAAGTTTACTACTCAAACGGTTCTTTTTTAGGCCTGTTTGGGCTAGGAAGAGATTGCTGAAGGGATAGGACATACTTAAAGCGTATATGATATGGAAGAACAGAAACACAAAGTCACAAGATGTAATCCTATTGGCAATAGAAAAGTCTGTTTAGATCAGGGCGAAATTGCCAAGGGAAGAGTGTTGAAGCTGAAGTTTGCATATCTGACATAAATCACACAAAATGGGCACATGATGAGAGAACGCATCCTTTCAAGGTTCCCAGTCAAGCAGCTTTGACAAGTAGTGAGAACATGCGAATACACTTGCTCATTTGTATTACTGGGCAGAGAAAGATCCAAACGCGCTTTTCGCCTAGGTCTCATGTTAATTTGCATGGTATTTACAGTGTTTTTGAAGGGTTTGGGGATAGGGTGACTTGAACGTGTGACTTTTGCCGCCCAAGCGATTGGAGCTCTCGTCGACAGTGGATAATTGATTTGGATATGGAGAGGGGTCATATCATGTGTGCTGTCATTGTGGAGATGGAGAACAGAGAGAACAGTGGTTTGCAGATGTCGAAGTCACGAGGAGGTATGTTGCGGAGCTGAATGAACTTAAACGCATGATCTCGCGATGATACTGCAGTAGGACTGAAGGCAATTTTGTGGAGTGGATGACGCTTTGTTACCGGAGATTATGAAGATAAAGTTTTTGCGTTTTCTGAGGGGTGCTACCAGCGCCAATAGCAGAAGTATGCGCTGCAAAAGTAAGGTACCTGGAACAACACCTCGATGAGCTTTGGATGTACTCCTTGGAAATGGACTCATGGAACCTGCTGGCTTCAGGAAGCCTGGAAGGGCGTTCAATGCATTCGGCGGTTTGGGATCAGAAGAAGAGGGCCATGATCATTTTCGCTGGCCAAGGTGCATGCGCGAAATAAGTCTGGCAAGAATGGTGTAAGTTGTTTATATTCAAGAAAGCTCACGAAACAAGCTTGATTTCCACGAACCCCAAAAAGGTCCGGCCATAGTTTTGATTGAGATTTGCTCAAGCCTCAGACAGATTGAAAGTTGATCGCAGTTGCTCAGGTGCCTCGCTCTTGGGAGATTTGTGGCGCTACGGCCTAAATGCAAGCACCTGGGTTGAGCTCATCCCCCAAGGTCCCTTCCCACCTGCACGAAGTGATCATGCAGCCGTTTGGGATGAAACAAGCTACTCGATGTTCATTCTTGGCGGATGGGGTGGAAGCCTAGAGTTTCTGAATGACCTTTGGATCTACCGTTGGGAAGCTGACATTTGGATGCAGCTGTCACCCTACACGTCCGGGCCTACAACTCGGCGTGGTCATGTGGCCGTTTGGGACCCCGTGTCGAAATCCATCCTTCTCCATGCAGGCGCGGCCACATTTGAGGCGACATCGAATTCATCAGAGACCAGCTCACATGGTGCTACCAGTTATTATTCTTCGGAACTCTGGAATTACAGTACTTTGTCCAATGTTTGGACACAGATGGCCCTTGATTCTGTTTCTGGTACTCCAAGTGGGCGGATGGACCACGCTGCCGCTTCTTGGTTGGCAACATTGTCAGACGAACTTTTTGGGGCTCTTCGATTTCGAAGAGGTCAAGGGGTCTATATGTCCCTTGTGGGAAAAACTTACTTTACTTCGAGTGATCCCCACCATGACATTTCAATCCTTTGTTTTGATGCCATAGTGAGGAGGTTCTCGATCTTGCTTGTGGGTCCTCGGGTTGTGGTTGTGGTTGTGTGCTGTGTTGTGGTTGTGGTTGTGGTTGTGATTGTGTGTTTGTGGCTGTGTGTTTGTGATTGTGTGTTTGTGGATGTGTTTGCGGTTGTGCTTGTGGCTGTGTGTTTGTGATTGTGGGTATGTGCTTGTGGTTGTGCGCTTGTGGTTGTGTTTGTGGTTGTGTGTTTGTGGTTGTGTGTTTGTGGTTGTGTTTTTGTGGTTGTATGTTTGTGGCTGTGTGTTTGTGGTTGTATTTTGTGGTTGTGTGTTTGTGGTTGTGTGCTGTGGTTGAGGTCCGGCAGGGAACACTGGGCGCGGATGGTCGCGGTTGAGGTCCGGTGGGGAACACTTGGGTCTGGAGCTCGCGGTTGAAGTCCGGCAGGGAACACTGGGCGCGGATGGTCGTGGTTGAGGTCTGGTGGGGGACACTTGGGTCTGGAGCTCGCGGTTGGGGTCCGGCAGCGAAAACTGGGCGCGGATGGTCGTGGTTGAGGTCCGGCAGGCAACACTTGGGTCTGGAGCTCGCGGTTGGGGTCCGGCAGGGAACACTGGGCGCGGGTGGTCGTGGTTGAGGTCCGGCAGGCAACACTTGGGTCTGGAGCTCGCGGTTGGGGTCCGGCAGGGAACACTGGGCGCGGATGGTCGTGGTTGAGGTCCGGCAGGCAACACTTGGGTCTGGAGCTCGCGGTTGAGGTCCGGCAGGGAACACTGGGCGTGGATGGTCGCGGTTGAGGTCCGGCGGAGGAGGAGGACGACGAGGAGGAGGCGGCGGAGGAGATGGGGTTGACGTAAAACTTAACAACCCTCACCTGACAGGTGGGGAATTATATGTCTCTAAGTCTCTAACCTCAACACCCGTACCTGGCAAGCAAAAGTGGAACTCAGTTGTGTGGTCCAACACGTCGCATCGCGGCCCCCGAAGCTATTCGTGATGTTGACTCGTTGATGTTGAGCTTTTCTTAGAGGCCCTTCCCGTTTTCCACTAATCATTGTAAAAATACAGTATATATAACTATATATAGATAGAGGCTTTCAGCGTTTTTCTCGTTGACAAGTCGACGTCACTTGTGTCCTCCCACCTTCGTATGTGTATATACACCCTGGCGGTGGCAAGAGGTTTCCAGAGCAATGTGTTCCAACAACTGGTCCTTGTATCTACCCAAGCGATGCTGGCTGGATTGTCGAAACAGTGTCACTTGCCACGTTGACATGAGTTTCTGCACGACGGTTTGCGTGAAGGTTTGGGACCCAACCTCGCGTGGGATGCTCGTCCTTGGTGGCTTCAATGTTTCGTACCTGTTTGACCTTTGGAGATATGTGGCACTGCCTACCAACGCCATCCACACCGCTGAATGTGACCAAGGCAAGCACATGTCCGATATTTATGAATATTTGTTGTTTCATGTTGTGTCATGGAACACAACAGCGTCAAGCACGCATCAGGGACGTAGTTGGTTCCCTTTTTGACTGCGCATCCACATGGCAGGACAGATCTGTACCGTGGAAATGCGGGAGTTTGTGCCCGAAACATTTAGAGGACAGATCAGTCTCTCGGAGGAATGCGGATCCAAGATGAGTGGCGGATACAATTTCACATTTGACAACAAATCCTTTCTCGAATCTCTGCCAGGCACATATCGTGTTTGCTGGTGTCGCCCAGATCCCGCAGCCCAGGTGGCGTGCGAGGAAGCCAAGGATTTCGCAATTCCTGTCGGTTTTTTCCGTGTTGTCGGGCCTTACGTTATTGGATTTGAATGTACGCTTGGTGATCCATGCATTGTGGGATTAGAGGGGGTAGGGCTCGCTGTCACGGACACTCTTCTGCCAACGATCACTTGTGGTGTCATTGCGTGGACGGTCACTTTCGGAGTGGTGCAGCCTGTGGCTGCCACATTGAATGAGTCAACTGGCAAGGTCCTGTTTGATTTTGGTTCACCAAACTTGGAGACTGTTCCTGAAGAGATCCAGTTGTGCTGGTGTTCTGCAGCGTCTGCGTGCGAGGTGGACGACTATCGTTCGCTGGCCGTCCAGTTACGAACAGTTTGCCCTCCAGGAACATATTCCAGCAACACTCCCTGTGCAGTTTGCCCAGCAGGTTTTTACTGTCCTGGAGGAGAATTGCCTGAGAGACTGCCCTGCCCTACAGGAAGCACTTCACTGCAAGGTGCAACTTCCATCCTAGAATGCACCTGCCTCGCCAACTATTTTTGGAGCGCAGTGCTCAGTTCTTGTTTAAAGTGCTCTCCAGGCCTAGGTTTTCTGCCCGATGAAGCCACCTGTGTGCCTTGCAGCAAGGGGACCTATTCTCCTGGTGGATTGGCAGCTTGCGAGCCTTGCCCTGCAGGTCGATACTCAGACACTGAGCAGACTCCTTCAGCTTCCTTGGCTTTGCAAGGTTCATTTGCTTTTCAAGTTGTTGTCCTTTCTCTGCATGGTTTGGTGCGGGAAGACTAGTGAGTAAACAAACAGTAAAATTCAGAGGCACGGAATCCTTTGAGGAATGAAGGTCAATAGGAATAGAAATAGTATTTATTTTTATTATGTATTACTACCTTTACTATTTTTGTTATTGGTTATTAGTAATAGTACTAGTGGCAGTAGCAGTAGTAGGGTAGTGATGAATTGGGTTGATCCCTTTTGTTTTGTTATAACGAGGGAAAGAAATGGGCGCTGAAGCCTATGAATCCCGAATAGGTCCCTTCAGCAACAGGCAAAAATATCTAAAAATGAGAAAAATCCTACCGACCTGACATCATTCTTGCTTCTTGCGAGCTTAAGCCGCAGGTTCAAGGCTGCAAAGCCTGTGCAATCGGGCAATGGAGCAATGTGACTGGAGCAGTTGATCAAGCGAGCTGTAGAAGTTGCGACGCAGGCTCAACCACTGATACGCCAGGCGAGGGGCCAACCCGACTTGCAGAAAGCTGGTGAATCTCGCAAGACTCCCCAAATTCATCTACGTAACTATTCCCACAGACAAACACTCCAGGTCCTCGTGGTTTCTCATACTCACACATTTGCATAAGCCATCAGGAGCTGACCGTCCTAGCTTGTGCGTCAGACCGCGTGACAACCACGTTCGAGAATGCGTGTCTGGCAGGCAGGGAACGGTGATTTGATGATCTGCGAATGAATGTTTGCATCAAGTAAAAGTAATTTGTACACCTCTCCATGGCATTTGTCTTCAACTATATAGCTAGTTTTGACAGCGCTCAATTTGCTAGCTGCAAACCACAGGCCTTGCATTGTTGACTACATAGCTGGCTTCAGCTTGAGGGATGGACATGCGCTGGGGCTGACGAATTCTTCTTGCAGCAGTGCCTTGGACCAACATCGCTTCGCTCGGCGGGGTCGGTCGCGCCACGCCACCGCACTCCGTCTGAAGCAAGTTCGGCCGGTTCGGCCGCCAAAAATTTTTCGCTAGGCCCGCTGTGATGACGATGATGATGATGATGATGATGCTGCTAGATTCTCCATTTTGAGCCCTGCCAAGAGGATGTTGCCCTTTGTGAAAGACCTTTGAAGTAAGGCAGGGTGTTGGCTTACTATCATACCCGGTAATCAATCTGACAGCGGCCGAAGTTTAGTGATTGGTGCTTACCAATAGCCTATAGGGCATTATGGGGTTATGTTTCAACGCTTGAATCAAACTCCAAGGGCCTGATGGGTGGCGATACCGTGATACCTTGCGACGTGGTGATGTGGTTTTGAAGTGCTGTATGATGGTGTTGCTCGCGGCGTGTCTTGCGATGCTTTGCAATGTGTTGGGTGTTGCTGCGTCGTAGTTGAGTCATGATTTGGGACCTACTAGTAGGATGGGATGACGTGGTGCGTGCCAATGAGTGTGACGCATAGTCACTGTGAGGGTTTGTTGTGGTGAAGTATAGTGATATAATAAATATAGTAATATATATATATATGTACACGTGATGTGGTGAGGTGCTGCGTGGCGAAGTTTTGTCGGTGATGTGGAAACTGTTACTTTCCGTCTAGAATCTAGAATCGCTACTTTCCTTTACTTTTTCTCTTGAAACCTCTCACACTCTAGATTTGTATGGTCTGGAAATTTGTGTAAGTTTTCTGACATTCTCTAGACTTGTTTTAAACTCGAAACCTATGACTCTCCAGCATGCCATTTTCTGCGGACGAACGAGCGATCTTCCACACAAGTTCCCTGTTCCCTTCAAAAACACAAGACTTTGCGAGTTTGGATTTTGCGATTCTATTGTGTCCATGACTGGGAAGCTTCTCCAGCAAATTCCCTTGAATGATTGATTTATGACTCATGTTCATTCATGTTGAGACGTTTAAGGTTCCAAGCTTGTCATCGAACACGTGGCGAGGAATGGCATCAGCGCACCTGCTGAGAGAAACGGCAGTAGGTACGAATGGGGAAAGAACAAAGAGGCATTTAGTCCTTTTGGCGGTTTGTACAACATGTGTTGGTGCGCCAATATGCACGACCTCAGATGTGATGAAATTCAGTTGAACTTCTTGCTATCAGCTGGACAGCTTATGGTTGCCGGGCCTGCTGGGCCTTCACAAAATTCCTTCGAATGCGTCCGCGGTCAAGAATGTATCCTTAGACCCTTTAGAGGCTCGGGTCTGCTGGAGAGCGATAGTGTGATGCTTCGATCCGAAGGATGCCAGAGTAGTCAGGAACTCTTGCCAGCGATCAGGTTGACCAAAGTGAATGACCCTGCTGAGTTCTCAGTGGCTCTTGAAGTCTTTGATGATGTGCGAAGCTCTTGGTACTTTGCCATGGATGCAGAGAGTTCGGGCTACTTCCTTTGTTGGTGCGCAAGCGCCCGCGAGATTGATGACGCGTGTCAGAACTCTGTGGATTATTCTGTGTGGGCTGGCAGCTTGCGAGTACTCGGTCCCAGAGTGAACCAAGAGAAGTCTTGTTTCATTGGACAAGCCTGTGTTTTGCAGGAGATTCAGGGTGTAGACATGAAGCTGGGCGACTTGATCATGATTTTGTCCAGTTGTGGCTCAGGGTCTCCTGTCACAGGGGTCCCGAACGGAGGCATTGCAGAAGGAACAGAGTCTTGGTGGAACAGTGTTCGACTAGCCCGTCCTTCCTATGCAGTTTGCTTGCACATGGCTATTGGATTCTGATAAAGACAACTAAGTGGGAGCCAACGTGGTAGAAAGAGGCCCCCCAGCAATCATTGAGGGAGTCTGAATAGAATCCCTACCGCCAA